AAGAGAAGAGAAGAGAAGAGAAGAGAAGAGAAGAGAAGAGAAGAGAAAAGACAAGACACAAACAAGCCCTCAGGTTTATACAGCTAATTCATAACAAAGCCTATTCCCAAGTGCATCTTCAAGGATCTTTAAAAGAACCCCTGGGACAGCCAAAGTGGGCATGGTTATTCTATCTTACTGGTGGAGCAACAGAGGCAACTGACCAAGGACACATGGGTAACTGACACTGAGGACCAGGGCTAAGAGCTCCTAGTTCAAGGCTCTCTTTTAAGCAACTGACTTACCCACAGGAAAAGTGTGCATCCACCGCCTTCTGTTGGACGTGAGCTTCATGGGCATTCGAGAGGGGGCGAAGGGATTAATCAATGCTCTCTGGGGCGTGTATCCACCAGGTCGAACATGCAGCATGGATTCTGCACTGCCAACGTGAAACCTCCCTGGTGCACTGGAGTCTCGCTGTGGTGGCTCCATCATGTTCTCCAGGACATCTGCCAGTTATCATGGAGTAGAGTCACAAGGAAAAAGCACAGAACCGCAGTGAAACCAGAACTAGGCAGACTGATAAGCGATAAGCCAAGGCTGACAAGAATCGTGGGCATCATAAATGTCAGGGAGTGAGAGAAACGAGTAAAACTGTCAAACTATAAAGAAATGAAATGTTTGTATTTGTTTGCTTTTAAATACTTGGGAGAAGGGAGTTTTGGTTCTAAATTACTGGCACAATGAAGTCACAACCAAATCTGATGGGAAGGACATTGCCTGGAGATCCTGAATTTTGAGCTAGAAGAAATGACTGAATGATGGGACTTGAGTTTCCCTTGGGAAAGGAATGAGTACATTATCTAAGAGACAGGAACAATAAAAATAGCTATGTGGTGACCAGAAGGGCAGATCCTGGCAGAGCTAGTCACTGTGTTCACTATAAAACCATTTGATTTTCCTATTAGACATAAGACTATAGTTCCCAGCCCCTTTGCAGAAAAGCCAAATGACTTAGTTTCAGCCAACAGAGCACAGACAAAAGTGGTATGCTTCAATTCCAGGCCTGGACCACAATTATCTCCATGAATGATCTACATTCTTTTCCCCTTTGTGGAAACCTAGGAGACCAATGTTGATAATCATGGCATCCCAGGATGGAAGGAACCTGAGTTCCTGAATGACTGAGTGGATCAGAAGCCCCTCCACTGACTTAGTGGACTGGAACATGAGTAAGCAATCACATGTTATTATGCTAAAAAAAAAAAAAAAAAAATACTGAGCAAAAAATAATGAAGAAATGAATGCCTCCAGCCTTGGCCAGGTAAGGAGATGGTATGATATTTAGACTCTGCCTGTCTGGTACAATGGCAGACAGGTCCTATTGTGGGAGACAGAGACAGCATGTCTGAGTGGATCAAAGGACTGAAATCTACAACCAACTCTTCTTGTGTGTATCCCATTTTCATTAAGCATCCACCCAGATGAAAAAGTGGGTCCAGCAGATGCAAACTCCAAGGACATTATCTATCCAATGCCTAGCACAGAATCTCATACATTATAATACTGCATTTCATTCCTCAAGATGCTTTGCAGGCAAGAAGAGAATGTTCAGATTTCCATGAAAGTTTCACTATTCATTGTAAATTAAGAAATTGATGCTCTAACTCACAAAATAAAAAGAATATAGTCCAGTTAGTTATTAAGGAAATAAAAGAGGGAAACCCAATTTAAAAAAAGAAAAAAAGATGAGTACAGGTCAGGTGCAGTAGCTTGTTCCTATAATCCCAGTACTTTGGGAGAGCAAGGTGGAAGGATCATTTGAGCCCAGGAGTTCAAGACCAGCCTGGACAAGAGATTGAGACGGTCCCTACAAAAAATTAAAAATCTAGCCAGGTGTGTTGTTACACATCTGTAGTTCCAGCTACTTTGGAGGCCAAAGTGGGAAAATCACTTTAGCCCAGGAGGTTGAGGCTGCCGTGAGCCAAGACTGCACCACTGCACTCTAGCCTGGGCAACAGAGCGAATCCCTGAGTCAAACGAACAAACAAACAAAAGAAACCATCCATGAAACTGCTCGGGCCATCAAGGGTATGCGTATACAAAAAGCCACCAAGTATATAAAAGATGTCACTTTACGGAAACAGTATGTACCATTTCCACATTACAATGATGGAGATACGAGGTGCTCCCAGGCCAAACAGTATGGCTGCACAGAGGGTCAGTGGCCCAAAGAGTACTGAATTTTTGCTACACACGCTTAAAAATGCACAGTCATGCCAAACTTACGGGTTTAGGTGCAGATTCTCTGGTCAATGAGCATGTCCAGGTGAACAAAGCACCCAAGATGTGCTGCCTGATGTACACAGCTCATCAGATTAACATACATGAGCTCCCCCTGCCACACCAAGATGATCCTCGTGACAAAGGAACAAAATATTCCTAAACCAGAAAAGGACATTGCACATAAAGAAAAAGATATCCCAAGGCTGGGCACGGTGGCTCACGCCTGTAATACCAGCACTTTGGGAAGCCGAGGCAGGTGGACCATTTGAGGGCAGGAATTAGAGACCGGCCTGGCCAACATGGCAAAACCCCAACTTTACTAAAAATACAAAAAAGGCCGGGCACAGTGGCTCATGCCTGTAATCCCAGCACTTTGGAAGGAAGGCCAAGGTAGGCAGATCACGAGGTCAAGAAATAGAGACCATCCTGGCCAACATGGTGAAACCCTATCTCTACTAAAAATTCAAAAATTAGCTGGGCATGGTGGTGTGCACCTGTAGTCCCAGCTACTCAAGAGGCTGAGGTAGGAGAATCATTCGAACCTGGGAGGTGAAGGCTGCAGTGAGTTGAGATCGTGCCAGTCGCTGTGGTGGCATGTGCCTGTAACACTAGCTACCTGGGAGGCTGAGGCACGAAAATCACTTGAACCCTCAGGAGGCGGAGGTTGCAGTGAGTTAAGATCATGTCACTGTACCCTATCCTGGGCAACAGAGCAAGACTCTGTCTCAGAAAAAAAAAAAAAAAAAAAAAGGAAAAAGGCAAGAAACTGAAGAAACAAAAACTGATGGCATGGGAATAAATTCAGCACAAAGTAAATGCAAATAAAAGTTAAAAAAAAACAAAACAGATAAGTGAGAAACTTTTTTTTTTTTGTTTGAAATGGAGTCTCCCTCTGTCACCCAGATTAGAGTGCAGTGGTGCCATCTTGGCTCACTGCAACCTATGCCAACCAGGTTCAAGTGATTCTCATGCCTCAGCCTCCTGAGTAGCTGGGATTACAGGCACCTGCTGCCACGCCTGGCTATATTTTTGTATTTTGAACAGAGAAAGGGTTTCATCATGTTGTCCAGGCTAGTCTTAAACTTCTGCTCTCAAGTGATCCACCCACCTCGGCCTCTCAAAATGCTGTGATTCCAGGTGTGAGCCATTGCACCTGGCTGGTAAGTGAGAAATTAACATGGAACTTATGACAGAGGTTGTTTTATGTATGGCACGAATGGAAATGATAAAGAAATAAACCCTTTTGACCCTAGGCCTAAGAAAAGATTTCCATTAATATATGGAAAGGTATATAGTTACAATGACAGATGAAGAAAGGGTAAACACAAAAATAGTATAATATAGGCAGGGTGCAATAAAATTAGTTCATGTCTGTAATCTCACTACTTTAGGAGATTGTAGGCCGATGGGTGGATTACTTGAGCCCAGAAGTTCAAGACCAGCCTGGGCATGGTGAGACTCCATCTCTATAAAAAAATATAATAATCAGCTGGGTATGGTAGCATGCCTATAGTTCCAGCTACTTGGAAGGCTGAGGTGGAAGGATCAATCAAGTCCAGGAGGAGTTTGAGGCCATACTGCAGTGAGCTGTGAATACACTACTGCACTCCAGCCTGGGTACTCTATCACCAAAAAATGTGTAATATATACAAAACTAACAACCAAAGTGATTTGTACCTACTGCACTGGCATAGAAATAATTAAGGTGTGGGATTTACACCCCACCTCTGACCAATCCTCCCACCTCCAGTCAGCCACTATATTAAGGAAGATGTCCCTGGCTCTTTCTGTGCTTCAGCACTCTGACCTCGAGTGCTGGTATAGCCCAAGGAGCTGCTGACTTCATACTGGTGCAGGTGGGGGTGTGGGATCATCAAGATGTTGGCGCTCTTGCCCAAGGAGCTGTCGTCAGAAGCCTGGCTCCTCACTTCCTCATTGGGCAGTGTGCGGCTTGGTAGGGAAGGGCTGGATGAAACATCACAGAAGCTGGCACTCTTTCGACTGTGACTCTCTCGCTCTCGCACAGATCTGCCATGCAAGAAACAAAAAGTTACCATCAAGTGAGGGATGCTGTCCTACCTCAGGTTAAAACTCCAAAACCCATCACCAGCCCAAGCCACTTGGGAAGCCAGGAACAAAAATCCCTAGTGTGATCTACAAGTGGGAAACCTGTATGTGGTACTTCACCCTGAACAGCTTGAGATGTTGTATAAGAGAGGTGGAAAATGACAATCCTCAAGCAGCCAAAGTCCTAGAATCATAGCTGCAAAGAAATGATGGCTCCAGGCTGACCCCACCTGTTCCCACTGATTAATCTCACATCACTAAAAACAGAATGACCAGAGAGGAATGATGTGATGTGAGATGAAGTACACAGTGCCTGAGAAGTCTTCTCACCCTCAAATTTGAATCTAAATCTAATCAAGCTTCCAAAAATAATTGCCAATTTACAGGAAATCTGCAGAATAAAGGAAAACTTAAACAATACAATGTACAAATCAGCCAAATGAAGAAAGCAAAACATTCTACTGTCACACACACACAAAAAGACATAACAAAATGCATAAAGTAGATCTTGTTTAGGTCCCATGTCAAACTACATAACTGCAAAAGCACACTTCTGAGGCAATTCAGAAAACTGAACATGGACTGGCTATTAGAGGACATTTAGGGATTGGTGTTAATTTTGTAACCAATAATAATGGTTCTGTAATAATGTTTTCTTTTTTTTTTTTTGAGACGGAGTTTCACTCATGTTACCCAGGCTGGAGTGCAATGGCACGATCTCGGCTCACCGCAACCTCCGCCTCCTGGGTTCAGGCAATTCTCCTGCCTCAGCCTCCTGAGTAGCTGGGATTACAGGCACGCACCACCATGCCCAGCTAATTTTTTGTATTTTTAGTAGAGACGGGGTTTCACCATGTTGACCAGGATGGTCTCGATCTCTTGACCTCGTGATCCACCCGCCTCGGCCTCCCAAAGTGCTGGGATTACAGGCTTGAGCCACCGCGCCCGGCCAATGTTTTCTTTAAACTCATATTTGTTGAAACATATACTAATCAGCTTTGTGCCAGGTGAGGTGACACTAAATAAATAACATGTAAAAAAAGAAAGAAACTTATGCTGAAGTATGTACTATTGAAAAAAATACAGGCTGCCTGGGATTTTTTGCTCGTTTGTTTTGTTGAGATGGAGTCTCACTCTGTCGCCCAGGCTGGAGTGCGAGGGGGTGGTGATCTCAGCTCACTGCAGCCTCTACCTCCTGGGTTCAAGCAATTTTCCTGCCTCAGCCTCCCAAGTAGCTAGGATTACAGGCGTTTGCCACCACACCCGGCTAATTTTTTTGTATTTTTAGTAGAGACAGGGTTTCACCATGTTGGTCAGGCTGGTCTCAAATTCCTGATCTCAAGTGATCCACCTGCCTAGGCCTCCCAAAGCGCTGGGATGATAGGCATGAGCCACCGCACCCGGCCATTTTTAAACTTTTATTAGGAAATGCTCAGACATGCTCAAATACAGACTAGCATCATGAACAGTTATCACCATGTTGCTAGCTTTGTTTCATCACCTCTCCCACATTTAAATTTTGGATGGAATATTTATACCCTTATTAAAACATAAAATTTCCTAAGGGGAAAACCTCTAAAAGCAACAGGAAGAAGGATCAAAAGGAGAGAAGCCCGATAGAGTAGCAAAAGCTCAGAACAAAAGAATAAGCCCACCAAGGGCTGCCCTTGTGGCATCAGAGCTGCTCCCTCTCCTCCTGTAAGGATCTTTTTTTAGTAAGAGCTTAAACAGAGCCTGAAAACAGGTTCCAAGTGCTGACTTCCTGTTTGTTCCTTCCACGGTAAATATTTGAACACCAGTATACGCTTAGCCACGTGTGAGGGTAGAGCACTAATTAAGACACAATTTGTGCCTTCAAAGACAACCTGGGTACCTGAAACACCAGGTCTTGTCATCTTCGATGAGACAAAAGAAAACGAATCTTGAACTATGAGAGCATTTTTAAAGACTATAAAGAAAAGCCCCTAAGAAGCTCTTACGGAGCTCCCAAGCAGCATCGACACATAGGAGAAAGGCTGCTGACAGCACTTAATTCTGAGCTCTAAGCATTCTCAGGTAGGACTGGATGAGGGAAAAGAACAGAAAACAAGCATGTGGTCACTCTAAGTTCATTTGCCACAAAATTAAGAAACATAATATTATTCCACTCAGTTGTCCTTAAAGCTACAGAGTTAAGAAATCTGGAAAACTGATTCATGGTACTTGGTCAACTGGGAAAAAATATAAGCTAGAGCTCTGCTTTATTTATTCATGAAAATAGAAAGTCAACATAAAGAATACAAACATAAGCGTAAAATCTAAGACGAGGTTGGGTGCGGTGATTTATGCCCTGTAATCCTAGCACTTTGGGAGGCCGACTTCACTTGAAGTCAGGAGTTTGAGGCCAGCCTGGCCAACATGATAAAACCCAGTCTCTACTAAAAAATATAAAAATCCCCCAAGACTATACAGTATTGCACTTTGGGAGTTAGATCACGAGGTCAGGAGTTCGAGACCAGCCTGGCCAGGATGGTGAAACCCCCATCTCTACTAAAAATACAAAAATTAGCCAGGTTCAGTGGTGGGCACCTGTAATCCCAGCTACTTGGGAGGCTGAGGCAGGAGAATCACTTGAACTTGGGAGGCAGAGGTTGCGGTGAGCCAAGATCATGCCACTGCACTCTAGCCTGGGCGACAGAGCAAGACTCTGTCTCTAAAAAATAAAAAATAAAGAATAAAACATAAGCATAAAATCCAAGACAAGGCCAGGTGCAGTGGCTCATGCCTGTAATCCCAGCACTTTGGGAGGCTGAGGTGGGTGGATCACTTAAGGCCAGGAGTTCAAGACCAGCCTGGCCAACATGGCGAAACCCCATCTCTACAAAAAATACAAAAATTAGCCAGGTGTGGTGGTGGGTGCCTGTAATCCCATCTACTTGGGAGGCTGAGGCAGGAGAATCACTTAAATCCAGAAGGTGGAAGTTATAGTGAGCCAAGATTGTGTTACTGCACTCCCGCCTGGGCAATAGAGGGAGACTCTATCTGAAATAACAAAACAAAACAAAACAAGAAAAGATGATCAAGGTTGCTCTCTTAGAGGTCACTACTGAACACAACTTTTATATGCACCCCCCAAGTGAATCTGGCAGAAAACCTGCAGGTGGCGAGGCACTGAGCCCGGGATGGGCCGGGCAGCCTAAACACTTGAGCGTCATAGGCGTCATAATCTACTTGGATGGGAAGGGCGTTCTCAGATTCTTTTGGACTTCCGAGAGCTGAAATACACAAATAATATAAACTGTCATCAAATACATTTCAAACAGATGCCTGAGAGCTGCAATGCACAAATAATACAAATTGTCATCCAAACACATTTCAAACAAATGCCTTCAGAGAATCTTCATCAAAATTTGCAAGGCACAGGTGATCATCCTCTCCTCCCTGAAAAAATGGGATAACAACCCATTCATCAAGTTGAGATTAAATGTCGTGTACGTCAATGCAATACAGAAATAGAATAGCACTAAATAAAGGCAAGGTATGGGTAGCATTCATTCTTTTGTGACTCTTCATAAAATAAATCATCTTAATATGTTCAGTACTTTAAAACTTTCTACCTGATCCCTACAAATGGCCTACGGAAAAGAAAAATAAGGTTTTTCCATTTTGCAGCTGACAGGAAAAAAATATTAGGTGATTAAGGGACCCTGCAAACACGACACAAAGGGAACTCAGGTCTCCTGACATTTCCATGAACTTTTTATGTGACTTCATATACTTCTGTTGCCATAGGCTAGCATTTTTTTTTTTTTTTTTTTTTGAGATGGAGTCTCACTACTGCCCAGGCTGGAGTGCAATGGCACGATTTCGGCTCACTGCAACCTCCACCTCCCAGGTTCAAGAGATTCTCCCGCCTCAGGCTCCGAAGTAGCTGGGATTACAGGTACCTGCCATCATGCCCAGATAATTTTGGTATATTTGTGGAGATGAGGTTTCACCAAATTGGCCAGACTCGTCTTGAAGTCCTAACCTCAGATGATTTTCCCACCTCAAACTCCCAAAGTGCTGGGATTACAGGTGTGAGCCACTGCATCCAGTCAGCTGAACCTTTTTTAAAGGCGAGAAAAAACATATCTCAAAAAATACTTACATGTATCACGACCATTTTTCGCTTTCTCAGAGGCAGGCTGAAAAATTAAACAGATAATTAATCACTCCTTCCTTCACTACAAAAGAACTTATTACAAGGGACAATATGTATGTGCTGCTCCACAGGGAAGAGAGCCTGTAACTGATGGAAAGGCAGGAGCTAACATTTGACGTCTACCTCCCATGGTCCTTTATTCCCACATCACATCTTGTTGACTCTACAGCCCTGTCCAGTGAGGCAATGGACTCCCCCTTACATGTGGGGATATTCAATTGGAAAAAGAATAAGGGACTTTATCCAAAGCCCCACATTCACCAGGTGGCAGAACCAAAATCCAAGCCCAGATCTTTTTTTTTTTTTTTGAGATGGAGTCTCACTCTGTAACCCAGGCTGGAGTGCAGTGGCGCAGTCTCGGCTCACTGCAATCTCCACCTCCCAGGTCCCGGTTCAAGCAATTCTCCTACCTCAGCCTCCAAAGTAGCTGTGATTACAGGCACGAGCCACCATGCGCAGCTAATTTTTGTATTTTTTAGTAGAGACAGGGTTTCACCATGTTGGCCAGTCTGGTCTTGAACTCCTGACATCGTGATCCACCCACCTTGGCTTCCCAAAGTGCTGGGATTACAGGTGTGAGCCACTGCATCCAGCCGCAAGCCCAGATCTTGTAGACTGTTGGTCAATCCACTGCTGGGTTTGTGCCACCATGGCTAGGTCCCACTTGACCCAAATGCTGCATGCTTCCCCCTTCACTATGGTGCTGTCACCTGTCTGCCTACACAAACCAGAGCTGAGAACACTGTAGATCACCCAATTTGCTGAAATCAAGAACAAGGGTAGAGGAAAAAAACTAATAGAGCTATCACTTTTTATATTTTCTTAAAAATCTTTTTTGAATTAAATAAATAAAGTCCACGCACAGTGTTTCATGCCTATAATCCCAGCATCTTGGGAGTCCAAGGCAGAAGGATCGCTTGAGTTCAGGAGCTTAAGAACACCCTGGGCAACACAGAGAGACCCCATCACTATTTATATAACTTTTTTTTTTTGAAATCTCTTTCAGGTTTTTTTGAAACCTCTCATAACAATACTAATTTTTGCTTTTTTTGGAATGATCACAGTGGCTGGGTATGATAGCTCATGCCTATAATCCTAGCACTTTGGGAAGCCGAAGCAGGCAGATCACCTGAGGTCAGAAGTTCAAGACTGGCCTGGCTAACATGATGAAACCCTGTTTCCTCTAAAAATACAAAAATTAGCCGGGCATGGTGGTGCATGCCTCTAATCCCAACTATTTGTGAGGCTGAGACAGGAGAATCACTTGAACCCAGGAGGCAGCCCGTTGCAGCGAGCCAAGATGACGCACACCACTGCACTCCAGCCTGAGCCAGAGAGAGACTCCATCTCAAAAAAAAAAAAAAAAAATTAGGCACGGTGGCGCAGGCCTGTAGTCCTAGCTACTGGGTAGGCTGAGGCATCAAAATTGCTTGAACCCAGGAGACAGAGGTTACAGTGAGCTGAGATCCTGCCACTGAACTGGGTACAGCAGAGCAAGACTCTGTCTCAAAAAAATAAAATAAAATAATCATGGTGCAGAGAAGTTTTTCCATGTTCTACTTTGCTGAGAATGCTTGTGGTAAAGGTAAGAGATGTCCTTTCTGGACAGACCCCCATCTCCCACTACTTCACTATTTCACATGGGTTATGTTAGGATTCCTCAGATTGATCCAAATTAATATTCCCCCCCATTAGAAGAGTAACATTAACAGCCCTCCACCCAAAAAAAGGAAAGAAGTAGCCCTGACACACAGCCACAAATGGAGCAACCCTCAGTGAATTCAGCTCTACTAGGAAAGGGCAGGGAATGAAAGCACTAAGGTGTGGGGCTTGCAAACATAACAGCCTGCCTTTCTTCTCACAGTACATCAAAAACACTTCTTCAAGTTCTGGTCAGATGCAGTGGTTCACGCCTATAATCCCAGCACTTTAGAAGGCTGGGCAGAGGGCACTTGAAGACTTTGAGACCAGCCTGGCCCACATGTGAAACCCCACCACCGCTAAAAATATAAAAATTAGCCGGGTGTGGTGGCAGTCACCTGTGATCCCAACTACTCGGGAAGCACAAGAATTGCTTGAACCCAGGAGGCAGAGGTTCCAGTGAAACAAGATCAAGCACTGCACTCCAGCTTCGGAGACAGAGCAAGACTCCATCTCAAAAAAAACAAAAACAAAAACAAAAAATCACTTGTTCAGGTTCTTAAAACTTGCATTTTTAGGCCGGGTGCAGTGGCTCACACCTGCATTTCTAGCACTTTGGGAAGGTGAGGTGGGTGGATCATGAGGTCAGGAGTTCAAGACCAGCCTGGCCAACATAGTGAAACCCCATCTCTACTAAAAATGCAAAAATTAGCCATCTGTAATCCCAGCTACTCAGGGGGCTGAGGCAGGAGAACTGCTAGAACCCAGGAGGCGGAGGCTGCAGTGAGCTGAGATCATGCCACTGTACTCCAGCCTGAGCAACAGAGCAAGACTCTGTCTCAAAAAACAAACAAACAAAAAAAAACTTGCATTTTTATCAGTTGCAAAATACAAAACAAAACAAAACAAAAAAAACTTGCATTTTTATCAGGTGCAAATATATTCCATCAAGTGGATATTTCATAGTTCAACCATTGCCCTATTGTTTTCAACTTCTCTATTATAAATAAAATTTCAACTATTATAAATAAAACTAAGCCCAGATGTATTTGCATAAAATCACTTCAATTATTTCCTTACACTGCAGGCCCAAAAATGGAAGTGCCCGGTCAAACAGCATGGACATTTGCTCTCAATACACATGGCTGAAATGCTTTGCAACTGTAATGTACACCAACCAGGTACTCAAGTGCTAATTTCACCACACTTTTTGTAGCATGTGGTATAATTATTAGTATATTTTAAACCTCTTCGGAAAGAAGAAAAAAAGAATCCCCATTCTTGTTACAATTTTCATTTATTTTCTTGGTTTGTTTCTAGAGACAAGATCTCACTCAGTCACCCTGGCTAGCGTGTGATGGCAATCCTCTCATTTCAGCCTCCCAAGTAGCTGGGACTACAGGTATGTGCCACCACACCAGGCTAATTCTTTTTTAGTTTTTGTAGAAATGGGGTCTCACTACATTTGTTGCCCAGACTGGTCTCAAACTCCTGGCTTCAAACAGTCCTCCTCCTTCGGCCACCCAAAGCACTGAGGTTAAAGGCAAGAGCCACTGCACTCAGCCAAAATTTTCATTTCTTTACTATTAAGATCTGACCTTTTTATCATATCCCCCCTTTGCTGCAATGCATATCTGCATCTTTATCTTTATCCCACTGGTATCTGAGTGACTTTAGCATTGGAATACAACAGTCATATCATAATAAAATGAATTCTTTTTTTTTTTTTTTTTTTTT